TCCGATTAGGCAGCAGTATGCTTATTATCAAATCTGTGTTTCAACAGGAGCAAAAAAGTGGATAGAACCAAAAAGCTAAAACAAAGCATTTAGCAGGCTCACTCAACACATTCCCCCTCCATTGAATCGTCTCTTTCTTATTAGACAACGATGACTTAACGAGAAGACTGTGAGCTTCTTGGCTAACTTCATAGCATCTTCAACTGAAATGTCATTATTTTAAAACTAACTTTATAAGGAGACCATGATAACTTCGCAGTTTATTGGCAAATGACGTAGCATCTTTGACTGACATCATTTCATGAACTTAATTTTAAATATACCTTCACAAGGAATAGATTGTGATAACTTTACATCATCATATATGCATTTATGAATGGAACAACGGCAATGAAAGATCAGGGAAAAAAATTCTATACCCATTATCCAGCACGCCATAAGCATATGGTGAACCAGATCCAACAGAGAAACGCATTCCTTTTAACCTTCCGCCTTCACTGTCCACATAGTATAGCCCAGGACCCTAGAATCCAAGTTAGGCAGCAAGATAAAACATGAAAGTCTTAGAGCAAGTTAAAACATGAAAGTCTTAGAATGCAAGGGAAAGGATAGAGAACAAATTTTAGTTTCAAATACCGTTTCATCCCATCCAGCAATCATGGTTCCAACTGACAGTCCCATTCCTCGGTAAGAATAGAGAATGTTTGCCAACAGTTTTGATGCCCCAGTAACAGAAATCCTACGCTTGTTTGCTAATTCATGCAGCCGGCACTAGATCAATGGAAATGGTCATCTATTAGCACTTTGTGTATGTAAGGGTAATTGGGAAAACACAGTAATGGGGCCTAAGATTTTTCTCAACAAAATAATGGCACCATTTTCTTTTGAGAATATTCCATTTTGACAGCAAGGCAATTAGGCAGCCAGAATGCCTTAAATTTAACTACCCAAGCAATCAGAAAGTATGGAGAACTCATATTGGATACTTCCTAGTCAAAAGTTTTCTTTACTAACTAGGAAAAAGACCTAATATTATAAATCTACATCCACTTAGGTTATGAGAGAACAATTGCATACGTATCAAAACTGTGAAAACAACTTTCCTTAGTTGGAAATTTAAATGGCTAACCTGTGTGTGTAAATCACATTTGAAGGGGGAACTGAATATACTTGGTGGTTGGTAAGATATGCTAAATGCCAAATCTTTTTTCTAATTCTTTTGTTATCATATATGTGCTAGAAAATGCAGTACATATGCACTTAAATTTTAAAGCCAATTGAAAAAAAATCATCTCATCTGAAACCTTTGAGATGGAAGTATACTCTCACTTTCTATATTGTATAACCCCATGTTTTAGGAAAACTGCAATATATGAGCATCAATGATAACTGCAAAGAGAATTCCAAATTGACAAATAGCCCAATATGCAAAAATACACTGTATACAGCAAACAACACGAATCAAACACAAAACAGAGGAAAACAAAGACACGGATGCTATCCCACAGGCACAAGGGGGAATTTTTTTGTTTTGTTCCATTACCTTGATGCCTAAATTTCTATGCCAAAACTGACAGTCAGCAGCTCCTCCAGCCATTGTGCCAAGCATGTAAGGATTGATTTCAATAATTTTCTTCACCGACTGTGAAGCTGCCAAATTATGGGAAAAGGAACGATAATAGTGCTTTCAATTTCTATCCCAAAACAACAACAACAATAACAAAATAGTAGTTTCAACACAGACACACACATATATATATCAAGGTTTAATCCACAATGACCATAAGTAAACTATTTCCTAACCATTAAATTTATGCAAAAAATATCTTACTATGGCAAAATAGACATACAAAATAAATAAAAAAAATAAACATACAGATATAGCCTCCCATGCTAGCTCTAGAATCAGCCGCAACGATGACGCCTTCCTTAAAGATGAAAGCAAGTGTGGTGGTACCCTTAGCAGGTTTCACCATTTGGATAGCTTCTTTTTGGAACCCATCAAACTGCAATACACCGATCAAACATAAAAATTAAGGCATAAATCTCTCCATTTACTCAGAAAATTAAAGCAGTGGTAACAATTAACAGGAAATTCTAACTCACATCAGTAGTATTCGGGACCTCGAACGACGGAGCAGCTGAAAACCCATCAACAAGCTCACTAGGAGCACCCCAGACAGGCGCAGCCGATTCTAAACCGCTAGTGTCAAACTTCATGATCGGTTCTTAGAAAATCTACAAAAGTGTGAGACAGAATCAGAAAATTCGATGCATCCGATGATATATTTCTTTCCCAATAATCAAATTACAACATAAAACCCTAGGCGTAAAAACATAAGCACTCTTCTTTAAATATTAATACCAATATATGTGTGTGTGTGTGAGGTTGAGAAGAAAACCTTTCCGATTCAAGAAGGGAAAACAGAGCGAGAGATCGAATGAGAAATAAGCTGCAGCAGTGAGCAGACTGAAATTGTAATGAGGAAGAAGGGTTCGTTCTCTACTTTTCTTTCCCAGTTTTCTTGCGCTATGGGAAACTGGGAAAATCAGCTTGTTTGGGTCGTCTTGGATCGGCCCAAGCTTTGATTCAAAACGGAGATTGGTAGTTTCGACACCGCGCAATGAACCCAGAATCCAGCATTCATGATCACCTATCAAGATCTCTGGGCTCTAGCTAGATCTGTCTGATGGGTTGGGCCGGACCTTATACAGTAACAATGATATAAGTTGATTAAGAATGATACTATTTTTTTCCGACGTGGATGACTTCAAATCTGAACTGATCGGAATTAGGGATGGTAACGGATTGTATTGGGTCATAATTTTAACAAATTCGATTTGAATTGAGAAGCATACTACTTTTATATGAACTCCATTTGAATTTTGAGATAAAAATATGTATTTGACTTTATCTGACATGAATATGAAAAAAATCTTATTTTTATTCTAAAATTATGAATCTAATTGGAAAAAATGTAGATAGAATGATATTATAACAATTATCCTTGAATATAAAAAAAAATCATGCTATTATTCCAAGTTGAGTTAGATAAGAGATTTTTTATCATAAACTTGAACCTAACTCGTTCTCATCCTTTACAAAAAAGATCGATCTAATGTTATCCCAAATATTTAAAAAAACAATCGACCCCTTTTCGAACAAATTGAAATTCTCAAATCTAAGTTAAATTATCATCCCTAATTGAGATATTTTTTTAATGAGAGATGGGTGGGTTGGGGCATTTATTGTCGAAAATAAATTCGAATTGGGTTTAGGTGAATCCCATTCCATCGTGATATATTTACGAAAACACTCCTTTCTTCTTTTATAATTTTCATAAATATATTTAAGTCTTTTATTGATTTTTTAAGGACGAGATTATAGACATCTATTTTTGTCCAGGATTTTTTTATATAGTATAATTTTTTAAAATATTTTTGAAAACTATAATATATAATTTTTAGAGAACGATTATTGAAAACATATAATATAAACTTTTTAAAAAAAATCGGTTTTTGAATATATATATATATATATATATATATATATTATAATTTTAAAAAAAATTTAAAAAATGTATATATTATATAGTTTTGAAAATGATTTTGAAAATATATATATAGTTTTCGAAAACATTTAAAAAAACATAAATAATATATAGTTTTTGAAAACATTTTTGAAAATATATATTATATAAATTTGAAAACATTTTGAAAATATATATTATATAACTTTGAATACATTTTTGAAAATATATATACTATATAGTTTTTGAAATCATTTAAAAAAAACTTATATAATATATAGTTTTTGAAAATATGTATATTATATAGTTTTAAAAATGTTTTTTGAAAATATATATATTATATAGTTTTGAAAATAATTTTTTTTAAATGTTTTTTGTTTTGTGGAAACATATTACTTTTAATTTTTATTATATATTAATATTATTTATTTATTATTATTAATATTATTATTTTATTATTATTAATATTTTTTTCGATTTTTTGTTTTCAGGTCAAGTCCAAAGATCCAAGCTCAACCGAGCCAGCAAGTCTAACCCAACAGGCAGACCCGTTGGGAGGCCCAATCATGCAAGTCTATTAGGGTTTATCACCCAGCCAAAGGCGTCGCATAAGATGAAACAATCAATGCACGTGGTGGCCACGCTCCAAATGACCATCGAGTTTTCCGGTTGCACCAATGGGACTGATCCGTCCTAAAATAACCCACAACCACAAACAATCCACTAATGTCCTGAAATAACTAGGAATGATCTCGAGATCACCGGAAACTAACCACCGACGGCGGGGTATAAATACCCCACAAAATCTCACGAAATAGAACGATCAGAGAGCAACCAAACATGAGAAAAAACAACGAAAACAGTAGAATATCAACAAAAATATAGCAACACAACTAACACAAAAAACCCATAGCCATACACAGTAAGTATATAAAAAAACCAGCCAAGAATCGAAAATAAAAGCGAAGAGCACAGAGGAGCGTCGTCGGAGCAGAGATCGTCAGGAAGCCGAGAAGATGCGCCGAGAAAGGTAAAACTTGAATCTTTCGAGTTAGATCTACGTCGTTCAGAGGTTTTTAGGTGATTTGGGTTTCAATTTAGGTTTCGGGGTGGTGAGAGGAAGCTATCAGGTAAGTTTTGATTTTTTCGCCCCTGCTCGCGACAGGTTGGACGGTAGGTGGCCATCGGACATTGGTCGGCCACTTGACCGGATGGAGGTTGAGAGCTTTTGGGATAGAAAGGGTTTGTTTTTTTTAGAAATGGGTTAAAAATGATTTTTTTCGATTTTTGGATATTTATAATCGATGGACCTTATTGTAATTACCAAATAGTTAAATTATTTCTACAGTCCCTAGACTTTTGATGTGTAATTCATTTTGGTAATCTATTTCAATTTTGCCTTTGAATTTTTGATTTATTCGATTTAATCACTGTTTATATTTCTTATATTTTGCAAATTGGTCCCCTAACTTTTTTATTTTTCTCTTACAACTCATTTTTAGCATCAATTTGATCCATGAATTTCAATTTATTCGAATTTAGTCCTTTGAGTTTTTATTTCATCATTTTTCTACTTTTTTTGTTATTTAATTTTACATTTTTTCTTCATTTTAAAAATTATCATTTTTTACTCTTTTTATTATTTATTTGTTTGTTTATTTCCTTTAATTTTTTATTTTATTTTTTATTCATTCTTTCTGTTAATATGATTTTATTTATTTATTTATTTTTAACATTTTTTCCTCTTTTTATTTAATATTTATTTATTTTTATTTCTCAATTTAACATTCTTTTTGACTTTTTCAGTAGTAATTTCAATCGAATAAAAGTAAGCAATTCGAATTGAACTTTTAAATTTTAATTTTTGCAATTACGATAACCGACAAATTAAATGGTACTGAAAGGGCATTTCAAGGGTGCTAATCCTTCCTTGACTGTAACCGACTCTCGAATCCGACATATTTCTGGTAAAACGCAGACCAGGTAAGATGGTGTCCGATCAACCTAAACATTATTTTTAAAATGTTCGGTGGTGACTCTAACGTTTTTTCAAATCGAAGCCCAATTCCAGGCCTACCCGAAACACGACTGCGACAGAGATAAATCAAATATTTTTGTTAAAACTTTGGGATCATATTATATTTTTACTATGTTGAATCAAAATCGGATCAAATTAAACTATATTAAAATCATGCATCTAATTGGGGAAAAAGTTGTATTTGGATTGTGATTTCCATCACTTCAATCAATGGCCCAACTAAAATGTTGTGATGAAATAAATATGGACGTTGAAAAGGAAACCAAGTGGAGAATCAAAGCAATTGAGGTTCGTAAAAGCTCAAGTAGTTGTAGTTTTCATGCAAAGAACGTGGGCGCAACCAACACTTTTGAGAACGAGAAATTGAGAATCACAATACAATCCACGTTATCATATCTACTGTTATTGCCCCACGCCTTGAGCAATTTTTTCATTTGATAGTTTAATTATATTGAAAAACAATTTTAAATAAAAAATTCAATAAAATGAAAACAACATGATTCAGATAAATAATTTTGACTATTAAATTTTTAAAATTTACAATTTTTTTAATAATTATATCATATTATTTAAACAATTTATTGATCGATTATTTTAATATAGTTGAGTAAATTCCGATCTATTTTTATTTGATAACTTTTTTTATTAGTTTTGAGTGGTTATAAATTGATATCTATTTATAAAATTCGTAATCATTTAACATTAAACGTTGAAATATTTATACGAGACGAAGAATAACCATCATTTACAAAGGTCGTTTGTAATCTAATTTCAAATAATGTGTTGAGTTAGAATTGGACCCTTTTTCATGAGAATGGCAATGACGTAACTGTTTGGGTACCGTTGATCGGATCAAAGTGGTGGGCAAATTATTTGCGGGTTAAGTTCAAAATTTGTACTCCTTTGAAACATGCCACGTGGATGAGCGGGTGGGTCCATATTATTATAATCACAACACAGTAGGAGATTCCCGCCACTGTTCTCCTCCTTGGAAACATTTCTGCCGCCAATGAAATCAAAGTTTGTGTTTTTTGTCCCCAAAATGCCCTCGAAATTACTTTTTATTTTGTTGTATAGTTTCGGTATACGTATATTTTAACACTTCCAAAACCAACAAACAATCCTAGGACAATTCAGTCATTTGATAGCATTTATGGCAGATCTAAGAGGAGGCCGGCAATTTTCGGCCGGCGATTCAGACCCTCAAAAACTAAAAAAATTAAAAAAAATTATTATATTATTAAGTAAACAATTAATATTAAACATTAATTAATCAATTTCTTTTAAAAAAATTATCTGCACACGCAGTACAATATCCCTTTCTATTTAGTTATTTACCTTCACTTCCTCTAGAACCAAACAGCCACTCTTCTTCGGCTCTGCATTCATGGCTTCATTCTCTTCATTCCGAGAAAACTCCGTACTTCGGTGAGGAAAATTTTGAATTAAAGAATCTAGCTGAACTTGTAATTTTTGGAGAAAATTTTATATGGAGCCACCATGGTTAGTTAGTTACCTCCGAATTCTCTGGTATGTTTTCCCCCTGTTTTCCGGACCCCGACTTTGATTCAATCTCATTGTAGTTTTCATTTTCTATACTTGAAAGCTATCAGGAGTTAGCACTTAACCAACAATCCACATGGCTGCTGGCAATCTCATTGTAATTTTCCTTCAAAAATAAAATAGTCATTGTTTGAAAATAGGAGAATTTGTTTTTATTTTTATAATTTTTTCAAAGTTGTGCTTGTAAATTCCATTTTGGCGCATTTCTGTTTCTCTGTTTCTCTCAATCTCCATAGGAAAATTAGCATTTTGTGTTATATGTTGTTCTTTTCTCTCCCCCCCCCCTGCTTAGTTTATGTTCATGAGTTTCTTGTTTTTTGTTTTGCTTGTTTTCAAAATATCGATTCAAGCTGATAGTGATTCTCGTCGTGTATCGTCTCGGATCGCTTTCACGAAGGTCATTTGTTTCCATACAATCGTAGATTCATTTATCTCCTTTTAAGCAATTCTCCTTTGGTTTAACTGTTTCTTACGAGAATATTGTTTTTCTTTTAATTGTAATGAGATGTCTAAACCAAATTTCTTAACAGCAACCGTAAGTTTTTGTTTCTTCCAGGATTTCAAGTTCCCTCTCACGGTGTCTGATGATGAAATTATTTAGTATGCTTTGTTTCGAGATCGCAGCGATGTCCAAATAATAGCTTATTCAGGGGGGCTCATATTGCCTAGTTTCTCCCCCCCCCCCATTATCTAGAGAGGCCTTTTCCTTGTCCATTTCAATGCATGAAATCTTCTAATTTTAATCCTATGCGTATAGAGGAGAGAATTGATATATATATATACTCTAAATGATGATTTGTTCATATAACAAGAGGGAACCATAGAACTGAGTCAAATATGTCATTTGCTTTGTTAGGGTGTGTCATTCTAGGAAAATTGAAGTTCTTAAAGGTTGATTCCTAGCAATACAACCTAGAGGGGTTGTGATTTTCTTTTTTTCTTCTAGGCATTCATCATGCACATTCGGTACTCATGCCGATTTTGTTTCAAGGAGAAGGAAAAATGTTTAGAACATTATATTGAACTTTATGTTGTGTTTTAAGATATTTATTTTCGACTAGTTTATAACCTATCTGACTTTGTTCTATTTTCATCTTGAATTGCAGTTGATATAGATTTTCATTTTAGTGGTTTCCCGCTTTGAAGGCTAGATTATGGACAACTCTGAGCTTGAAGAGAATCTATTTGCAGTTAGTGATGCCAAGGTAAGAATTTGATAGCATTTGTATATGGTTTTTTTGCTATTCTTTGAATTGTAATTCACTTCACAAAAAAGGTGCCTGCTTGCTTGCCATTTTTTTTAACTTTTCCCAGAACTTTTTGTTGGTATCTATACATCTCTTATTTTTTTTAACTGTTTTTCCAAAACAATGGTCTTCTGTTTTTGGGAAGTTGTAATGTTTAACTCTTGTTGCATTTTTTTAGGACAGAAAAAATATTAATTTCCACAGTTTTCTTACCTATTTTCTATTTTTTTTTCTTATGCAGTTACATGGAGAACTGTGCAAGACACTTTCAGAAATTTATTGCAAAGTATCGTGGATATTCCCTTCTTTGGAAGCAGCACGGCCTAGGAGCAAATCTGGGATTCAGGCTTTATGCTCATTGCATATAGCTCTAGAAAAGGCCAAAAAAGTTCTTCAGTACTGTTCAACATGTAGTAAACTTTACTTGGTAAGATATATGTATGCATAGTTGTATGTGTACTCGTGTATTCTTAGAGTAGCGGTTTTGATTTTTGTTGGATACGTTTACTAAATTACTTTTCAATGTTTTTGTTTTACACCATGTTTTTTCCTGGAGATTTTTACTAACTGTATTGTTCTTCTCCTATAGGCTATTACTGGAGATTCTGTTCTTTTAAAATTTGTGAAGGCAAAATCTGCTCTTATTGATAGTCTTAGGCGTGTAAAAGATATAGTTCCACAGTCCATTGGATGTCAGGTACTAATTCCTACCTTTTGGTTAGAGAGTGAAATTATGTAATTTTTGTGTGTTCAAATAAATAAGGGTCTTTTCTGGAAGCAGTTGAATTATGAGTTTTGTCCATATCATCCCAGTGCATTGTTATATTTCTTAATGCTTGTGGTTCAAATCAAGAAGGGTTTTCTGTGCCTTGGTTATATTGGTTTACCTGCAATATGAATCTTCCTGTGTGAAACCCTGTAGTAGCTGTTGCTTTTTCTTGTACGCTCGCGGTATTCTCGATTCACTTGTTTGGCTTCAGATTTTGGAGATCATAAATGAGCTCGAGGTGACAGTCTTCTCACTTGACCCGTATGAGAAGCAAGTTGGTGATGAAATAATTGCATTACTCCAGAATGGGAGGAATTTTAAAGAATCTAATGACAACAGTGAACTCGAGTCTTTTCACCGGGCAGCTTGCAAACTTGGTATCACTTCTTCTAGAGCAGCCCTAGCTGAAAGAAGGGCTCTCAAGCAGGTGATAGAAAGAGCCCGTTTAGAGGAGGACCAGAGGAAGGAGTCCATCGTGGCTTATCTTCTATCTCTCATGAGAAAATACTCCGAGGTATTTCGAAGTGAGGTTTCAGATGATACCGACTCGCAGGGTTCAGCACCTTGTTCCCCCACTGTTTTGGGTTCTCTCGAGGATGGAGGGGCTGTTGGTAACTGCCATGGATTCGAGCAGCAGCTAAAAAAGCTCAGTTCTTTCAATTTCAAGACAAACATTAGATCTGGGCAGATACGCATCCCACCCGAAGAATTACGATGTCCAATATCATTGCAGCTTATGTATGAACCAGTTGTAATTGTCTCTGGACAGACATATGAAAAGATCTGTATTGAGAAATGGTTTAGGGATGGGCATGACACCTGTCCGAAGACTCAACAGAAGCTCCCGCATCTCTCTTTGACTCCTAATTACTGTGTCAAGGGTCTCATTGCTAGTTGGTGTGAACAGAACGGAGTTCCTATCCCTGGTTACCCCCAAGAGTGTCTTGATCTTAACTACTGGAGATTGGCCTTCTCTGCGTCTGAGGCTGCAAATTCTAGATCGACAGATTGTGTTGGTTCGTGCAACTTGAAGGGGGCTAAGGTGGTTCCTTTAGAGGAGAGTGTTACAAATAAAGAAGTGAAAGGAAATGAAGCCGAAGATGAATCTCAATCCCCACAGGAAGAAGTTTCCGAGCTCAACGTGTTGGATCGATATCAGGAAGTCCTGTCTGTCCTGAATGAAGAAGAGAACTTGGTGGAGAGTTGCAAAGTCGTGGAACAAATAAGGCTTTTGCTGAAAGATGATGAAGAGGCCAGGACTTTTATGGGAGCTAATGGATTTGTCGAAGCATTATTGCGATTTCTAGAGTCAGCTGTGCGTGAACAGAATGCAGTAGCTCTAGAAGTTGGGGCACTGACTCTCTTTAACCTTGCTGTCAACAATAACAGGTACGTCTTTGCTTACTTATGAGCAATACGGGTTTTTCTATTTCTCTTAGCCTCTGGCAAGCTGCTGCTACTCTATGATTCATTCGAGGATGCGCTAAATGCTTCGTTTTCAGAGCATTGTTGTGTCTTTCTTTTTAGAACTGTTATTCATATGATTGTTCGGCATTACATATCAGGAACAAGGAATTGATGTTAGCGTCTGGAGTGATTCCACTGCTGGAGCGTATGATTTCCAACTCCAATGCCAATGAATCGGCAACTGCTCTCTATCTTAATCTCTCTTGCCTTCAGCAAGCCAAATCTATCATAGGCTCAAGTAAGGCTGTTCAATTTTTAGTCGGGCTACTAGGAGGTGAAACTGACGCACAATGCAAGCTTGATGCCCTTCACACCCTTTTTAACCTTTCAACCGACCACTCCGTTATTCCGAACCTTCTTTCTGCTGGCATAATCAATCAACTCCAGTCGCTTGTGGTCTCGGGTGACCATACCTGGACAGAGAAATCCATTACAGTTCTGCTAAATTTAGCTTCAAGTGAAGCAGCAAAAGAAGAGATGGTATCAGCCTCTAGTCTCATAACCGGCCTTGCATCGGTTTTGGAAGACGGGGAACCCATCGCGCAAGTGCAAGCTGTTTCATGCCTTTTACTCCTGTGCAACGGACACGAGGAATGTAGTCACTTGGTCCTTCAAGAAGGCGTGATTCCCACATTAGTCTCGATGTCACTAAACGGAACAACAAGAGGTAGGGACAAGTCACAAAGGCTTCTGGCGCTCTTCCGGGAGCAGCGTCAAAGAGATCATCCGCATCCGCCTGCAAACCTATGCCGAACATTAGTAGAAAGCAGTCGAGACACAACACCTGCTTCGCCATTGGCTCCGGAATCCAAGCAACTGTCTATATCTTCATCAAGAAGAAGAGCGGGGAAAGGCTTCAATATGAGCTTCGGCTTGAAATTTCTATGGAAGAGCAAGAGCTACCCTCACTTTATTTACCATTGAAAAGCATGGCAAGGTACTGTAAATTTCCCTTGTATATTTTCTACACTTCTCATGTCCTGTTCTATTGGACTGATTTTTTTTTGGGGGGGGGGGGGTCATCATAGAAAATCAGAAATGAACTGCCCCCTTGTAATCTAAGGGCTATTTTTCTGGATTGTCACACTCACATAATTTCTGTATATATATTATTATTTTTATATTTTTATATCCATTTTATAGTCTACTTTCGCAATTCATGATTGTTTTTTTCATAACAATATTGTTTTCAAGATAAAACAAAAAATATAATTGTAATTAGGCTTTCTCAAATTTGTTAGCAATTTTCGTGAAGTCTTAAAATTTTCAAATATTTATAATTAAGCCCCATTGAGATTGTTAAAAGTTCATTAGTTCTTTGTTTTTTTAAAAAAAAAATAATAAGTAGATCTCCAAAAATATTGAAAATTTTAACACTTACAAGGATTTGCAATTTCGTCCCAAATTATTGATAAAATTTTAATTCTCTATTTAAGTTCAATAATTTACTCATTATTTTTTTACAAATTAAAAATATTAAAAAAAACGTATGCTATTTTTTTTAAAAAAGTTATGTAATCAATAAAAAAAATTTAAAACATGAAATTATAGTCAAAGATGGACATGGGTCTAGTTAATTTTTTTACTGATATGCACCCAACCCAAATATTATGCTCATTCACCTGTTATTTGATTCAAAATTTGACCCGACCTTTTAGGGTAAAAATTTGCATTCAAGCTTACCCATCGGATCCACACACATATATAATTACTTTATCAAGTAAAATAGATATTTAATTGAATATATATATATATATATATTATAATTATATTTAAATATATAGAAGTAATTATTACTATAATTTCGAATCTAAAATTTTTCATTCTAAATTTAAACATGATTCCATCCAATCCTTATCAAATCTCGATTGATAAGATTATTCTAAATCCTAATTTCATACCCATCCCTATTCGTGTTTACGTATATTACAATTTTCCGTAGTTTTTGATTTTTTTAATATTATATATTTAATAACATAGGCAAGGCAACCAAATGAACGGCACAGATTTTAGCGGGAATAACAATTAAGTATTACAAGGATTTGCAATTTGGTCCCAAATGATTGGTCCTCACGTGGCCAAATAATAAAGTGCCGTTTATAATTATCCTCCGCTAAAGGTGAAGTACACTTATCATCGTTCGATTACAAAATAATAATTAATTTTATCAAATTATTATGAAATAATTATTAAGTTTTATTAAATTATTATAAAATAATTATTAAAATTTTATAATTGTTTGATAAATTTAATAACTATTTTATAATCGTTGAATGTTTAATGATAAAAACATTTCATTTGAGCATGGAATTGGAATTGGATTCTGGCAATGGAACCACAAGCATGAAAATAATATTCTCTCAACTTTGCTCTTATCGCTTCCAAGCTCCCTTACCGGTAAAACTTGTTTCTACTGTGGCATTAAAATGGCTGAAATCCTGGGTGTTCATCAATTGATTGATTCTGAGGAATTCTTTTTTCAATTTTGAATGAAAATGAAAATAATGCCTAAACAGGAAACTTGGATTGGTAACGTTCCAGTTCCTTTGGATACTTTTCTTGGTGAATTTGTTTGCTTAAGTAATATTCTTTACTTTGTCTTTTATGGCGTGGCTTGTTTGAGATGGTTTTTTTATTCTGGGTTTGCATTGAATTAATAATGGCTTTTTCTTCCTGCCTTTTCATTGTTCATTGTTGCAATCATTATGGAATTCGGCGCAGGTTCTTTTTCTTTTAACTTTTTGCTTTGCGTTGTTGATTTTGTCGAAATAGAAACATTAAAGCTATAGGGTCTGTTCTTTTCAAAATTGGAAAGTTTGAGCAGAGTTTGATTAACTTGTTCTCATATGCTTCGTTTATTATAGTTTTAACTTAGGGAATTTTGGGATGCTACAAAATTGAATATATATATATATATATATATATAGTTCTCTTCATTTTGGTGAATTTCTTGATGATGTTTTACGGATTGTTTTGGCTGCAAAACCTATTATGATCATATTTGTCTCTAATTCCATATGCATTAAATTTGTTTTATGTTCCAACTTATGCATGATTGAGAATCTATTTGTTTTGGCACAATGCATGTTATTGAGTTTGTTAGCTTGTTTTTTGAATGCAGGCATTCCCGGTGACGGGAGATGTTTGTTCCGCTCGGTGATTCACGGTGATTGGCTGAGGTCAGGGAAGCAGTCTCCGAGTGAGAGCTGTCAGAAAGACCTTGCCGATGAACTCAGAGCTAAAGTACATTTCTATTCTATTTCTCAGTGTGTTTGATCCCAATCACTTCAAAGCATCATTTGGTTTTTAGTTGTACTTGCTATGAATTCATTATAACTTGGATGGAATTTGATTTTTCTGCTATCGGTTTTTGGTTTTTGTGTTAGCTGCTAATGTCTTCCTTGCGTTTAACTTCTTTTTGGCATACATTTTTAGCATCGTGAAACTGGAATGTGTTAACCAGAATTTTGTTTCCATGTAAAATCTATTTTCATTTTATGTTACCTGCAGACGTCTTTATTGCTTTATCTCCGTTTCAGAAAACATTCAACCTATCGGCAGATCGGTTTACCTGCATTTGGTTTTTATGCAATCCATTTTCATCTTTGCATTCGGTTTAGCTGGAGATATCTCTTTGCTGTAACTTTGCATTGGCACTCAGTAAAAGATTATATGTTTCAACAGGTTGTTGACGAATTCATCAAGAGGCGGGCCGACACCGAATGGTAAGCTTTTTTTCTACACATATGAACTACTGTAGCCACAAGTAGGACAGTTAAGGCTATATCCAGAGATAAACTGATCCAAGTTCTTGATTAGCTTCTCCCTATCGGTTCATTGACACTACAAGCAAGTAAATCTTCATGCTTTTTGCAGGTTCCTCGAGGGTGATTTCGACAACTATGTCATGCAGATGCGGCAGCCTCATATATGGGGAGGAGAACCTGAGTTGCTCATGTGCTCACATGTCCTACAGTGAGTTTCCTTTCTTTTAGCTTTCTATATCAAAACTTAATTCAATTACACTTTTCTGTTATCAGTAAATCAAACTTTTCTTATCTGTCAAATATACATTTTATCTGCAGGACCCCTATAACAGTTTACATGAGGGACAAGAATTCGGGTACCCTTAAAATTATATCCGAGTACGGTCAGGAATACGGTAAGGAAAACCCCATCCGAGTTCTGTATCATGGTTATGGACACTATGATGTATTGATGAGTACAGTAAGCAGTGCCTCTTCTAAACTGTAAGATATCTTACTTCACTAGTTTTATACTGTTTTCAGCCTTCATATAGTACTAATATTAATCAAGTTCATATACTCTGATTATCGGAATTATATATAGTTTGAACCCGAAGCTTAACTTAACTGGTTCATGCAGTCACTCTTAACTATAACAACGACTTTGAATAAATTACCGAGACACTGATAGTGGTCTTGTTGCCGGTTTTGGCAGGTTGAAGATAGATGACTAGGGGATAATTGCACTGTAAAACAGGAGATGCTAGGAATTCTGTACTGATAGTGTCCTTTGAGAATGTAATTATATGAAACTCTTTTCAGGTGCAAATTACACTCATTCATGGATTCTCAATAATAATAAGCTATTAAAATTATAATAAATAAAATTCTTTGTATAAACAGGAGGTTGATGATGGGAAAGATTAAGGAAATGAACCCTTAAAACCACATCACATGCAAAGATTTGAAGGTATCTTGGCAATCATCTTCCTTTTATTAGATTAGCAACCATGCAACAGGCAATACAGATTCGTAGTTTGTAACATGTGTACGATGATGTAACGGAAAATACCAATTTTTGCTCGACTCTGACGAAACTCGGCAACTTAATACACCAGCCTCTGATCACATGCATATATACACAGAAACATGTTTGGTGAAAGTACAGGGGGGAGGGAAAAGAAACATCTCTACTCACCGTCTTTCCATATCTCTCGTATGAACTGATATCTAACAACTTTCCGGCCTCCCTTTCCCGTTTTCATCCAATTGGGTTCTTTTGAAGTGGGAGAACCGAGAGGGTTTTCAATCATGATCGCTGTAAAGGGCGAGTCTAATTCATCGAGCACATCATCGCTGGTGTATGATTTTCTAAGCGCAGATGATTGACTCCGTTCCATGGCTTGACTTCCCTATAATGTCTGTTAGGGAAGTTGCAGAAGGTGGAGAATAGGCTATAGGAGTAGCCATACATGGGAAGTTTGTGATAGACTCTTCCCCGGCCTCGGAAAGGTCCTGAATAAGAGAGAAAAAATATCAATCTAGGAAAACGAAAGCTGAGCACTACAAACTTGCAACTTTGCAGTGATGAATGAACTGGAAAGTTATATTTTAAGCAAAACTTTGTATATTGTTTATTGACAAACCTCCTCCAGTGCTTCAAAAACTGCCTGTGAAACTGAATTTGGGTTGAATTCATCGGCTACAAAATTGTTAAGAACCCTGATGATCAGGGGGACACTGAACTTGGGACATACCTCCAGCATTAAATTTCAAAGGGAAGATGGGATTAACAGAAATAGAGAAGTGACAGAGGAATGAGATATAAAAGAATATATATATATTGCTTATGGAAATTAAGATAAACATTTTAATAATTCCAGAACTATACCTCTTTCCTTGTGGACCTATCCACAAGCATCTCGGATGGAAGCATCATGAGATCACTCAATGCATTTAGAAGGGAAAAAGCCTTAGGAACCCTCACATACAGCATTTTTACACTCGCCTATTTTAGTTGCATCTTCGGGACTCTCACTGTCATCTACACCAAATAGATCTGATAACCATCTTGACCAGTTTCCGATCCGGTAACACGGGCAGCAGAAAAAAAGGATACTTTCAATAAAATGCTAGAAATGTAATAAACTTCTACGTTCTTACATCATTATTCAAGCAACTTCACTGAAGCAATTTCAAACCCTAATCTCATTCTTTTATTATCCGTTGATATAACATTTGGAGCAAGAAATCACAAGGTGCAAACATTTAGCTTCTTTAAATGAGGAAAAGTTCTGTGACTGTCAAACAAGACCAGATCTTGCACTTCAAGGATGCAGTTAAAGTATTAAAGTAGCTACAAAAAAAAAGAGAACCCGTTACTCACAGAATTTTTTAGTAGTACGCCTGCCCCAAAACTTGATCTGCCTGCAGGAATTGGATCAGAAATGGGATCCGTTGGCATTTCATCATCTGATTCACGAAGAATAGCATTGAACATTGCAACATCTAATCTACCCACCAATTGCTCCATTACCTAGTGATAGAACAGACAACAATGTTTCTATCAAATATGCATTTCAAAGGCATTATCAATTAGATAATAAAATCATAAGACACAAGAACATGGCCTCATCTTTTAACAAAGCGACACTGTGATGAACACGAATAAGGATAAGATCCAAGACTAAGTTTTGTATGCATACATGAAAACAAACTATATAGTATATCATAATACCAATTTAGCCAACACAGCTAAGCGGCCGCATTCGTGCCCACATGCTCGAACTGGACAAAGCCTCCCACAGGCATCTTTAAAAGCCTCCTTCCAAAGCTCAAATGAAAAATTTTCCTGCTCTTGATCACCTAATCCATGTTTTCTGCTTGAGGTTTTCCTTGATCTTGAGCTCTTTGCGGCAGCAGATGGAAATTTATGGTGTCAAAGTTTGCCACCAGACAGATTCGATTATTCTGGAGAAGATCCAAGCTTCAAACTTTTGCAACGCAAGTTAAAATGTTTGAGGTCCACCCAGTCATCTTAACTTTCCAAACATACCTGCATTTCCCCAATAGTGTGGCTAACAGTTGCTCTCAATACAATTGGATTTGATAACCAGAAGGTTAACCTATGAAAATGGAAAAGAAGTGGTCAAATGTATATCAGGTAAAAGGTGCAAAAGAGAGAAGCATTACTCCACCGATGACTAAATTTGAACAACATGCAAACCAAATTAACATCTTTGACAAAAGCAAAGGTAGAAGCTAAAATCTCCCAGATTCATTTTCTAAAAGGAAATGGAAAGTTTTAGTGCACACCTTGGAACATCGTTTCCACATGCTTTAGAGACCAAAACCAATCCAGAAATAGCAGCCCTTGCTGCACTTGCCCTCTTATCTTGGGAATTTGCGCTACAAGCATGAAGATAGAATCTAGAAAGTCGTCTAGCTGGAGCATGATCCTTGTTTGTAGAACCTCCATGCTCTGCAACAACGGAATAAAGACTAGCCTCAAGAACAGCAGCTTCTCTTAATTCTTCTTCAAGCATTTCAATTTTGGAGTCCAGTTCAACATTTCTGTTGCAAAAGCTCTTTGCATTTTCTTTTCTTTCATTACACATATTACTTAGGACTATCATGTATCTCATCAGAAACATCATTTTCCTTTGCCTTCTCCTTGACCTGAGTTTTCTTTAGCAGCCCATAACTGTAAACTGAGTCAACTTTACTGTTAGAAAAGCTGTATTCAGTTTCTTCCTTTTCACCAAGAATATCACTTGTGGTACCATTATAAGCCTTTTCAGGGAAAGAATTATCCTCCGCCTTCTCCATGAACTGGATCTTTGAGGGTCCATTACTCTTAGCTTCGTCAACATGCAACTGAACAGGTTTCAAGCTCTTTTGTCTGAGACCTAACCTATCCTGCAGAGAATATTCCTCAGGACCTAAAATCTGGCTATCCAGCTCATCTTCGCATGATGACTTTTCAGCATTTTCCTTCCAATGACCGGCAAGTGAATTGCTACTTGAATTTCTGTCTACATTGCTTTGGTCGTATCTCCAGGCTTTTCCAGCACCCTCTGTTTTGCTTTGGGAGTCTTTATCTTTTACATGATCTGAGTTCATATCTACTGGAATGGCAACACATGCCTCCGAGGATGAAACTTTACCCGTCGGATGAGTTACAAGATTCTCTGGATCGGAGGACATTGAAGATGAAAGAGACGTATTCCCATTTATGCTTGAATCCTTCAACCAATGGACTTACCCCTGGGTTTGAAGATGTTCCATCAGAAGGAAGAGCGTGTCCAGGCCTTGTTATCCCACCATCCACTGGTTCTGATCCAATCTGTAGTCAATGGCGACTTGCTATTAAACATTCAGAAATATAAGCTTTGCTAGGATGATGACAGTCACCAAATTAACCAGAACAACAACAGTTCTATAATGGAATCATGCAAGTGCATAGGAAAATGCACTCCGATGTCTGCCCGAAACTACCATATAGACTCTCATAATGTTAAAGAGGGATTGTAACTTGGACCTACGATTGCCAGCGATGTCTTACCTTGAAAAAGTTCTCAAGTTAAGCATCATTCAGAAAGATGCATATGCACGGGAAACGTAATTTCAAACAACACCAAATGCATAATATAGGATCATCAAATCATGATTGTTTCTTATTCACATGAAAATTCTACTTATGGCAATGCTTTAAGAACCCTAAGTCGGCCAAGTCAATTTCAGAAATCTTAAAGCTAACCGAATTTAAAACCTCAAATTCAAGCACATTACAAAGACAATTCAATGTAAATGGACGCAAATAACAAAAGGAGGATAATAAACTTAACTACCTTGTCATGTTGACCATGTGACTCCCTTGGAGGATCGGAAACAGAAGAAGCAACAGTCCGATATGATTGTGAGGAAAGATCATCATCAGTTAAAGGGGCACTCTCAGTTTCTACATTTATCGATTCGGAAACTGAGCTACTCCCATCCTTGTCAAATGACAGTTCTTTTGGCGAACTGCCTCCCTGCAATGAGCTGGAGCTGCCTTTATCAAATGGCCGGATATTAAAATAAAGAATCGGTTGGTCTGCGAGCCTTATCTTTGAACTCTTCTTCAAGTTAATAGGAGTGCTAATGCTTATAGTTTCCCTGATAATCCCATAATCAGCAAGGTTTACAACAGCAGATCCTAAAAGATGTCCCTTTGCGTTTTTGTCCCTTCGAGGCTCATACAAGTAGAACTCCAACCAGTTCTTCGGGAACCTATCACAATGGCTGCTCTTATGAGATGATTCCGGAGATAAAGTTACTGGAAGCCTGAAAGATTTGCCGAACTCGATTTTTCCATTCCTATTGCAAAAAACCAAGGACCCAGAATTCTTATTACTATTATCCCATTGAAGCAATATAGACTGAGGTAAGGGCAAAGCCTGCAATGGTGACCAAGGACTAATTTCCTTAACGCTTACAATGTAATGATCCTGATCTGAGACGCGGGTTTTCTTCTTAGTTTTTAACCCAAGAACCATTGTTCAAACCCTGAAGAAATAACCGCTTTCACTCAGGATCAATCAAAATGGCTTCACGTTTATGAAAACCATACGACAATGATCTGCATTTGGGGTTAAAAACAAAATTCAGAAACGGTATATGTTGAAAGGGCTTGAACAAAATAACAAACGGAAATGGAAAAAAGAGGATGAAGAACAACTCTGCCAAGAATAGTGAGTTGTGAACAACCAAATGCAGAGAAAAACAAGGAATCAAATTGAAAGCAGTACGCGGGTCCATGAATATAATTCTTAGCAACATACCATTAATTCATCAA